ATTTTTTTAAATGTTAAAATAAACCGATCATTTGAGAATGTAAAAAAATCTATTAATGTGAAATTAACACCCACGAGACAACATAACATATTTTAATATATAAAAATATAATAACTAATATCGATAATCATAACCCACCGAAATGAATGAGTGGCGTACAACTTGCAAAGCAAAGGCAGATTTTAAATATCTTCTTCATTGTCATTTTTGTGGGCCACAAAATATAATTCCAGAGTTATTACAATAGTATAGATTTTGCCCGAAATGCAAATGTAACATTACAAATAATACCAAACAAAAAACAAAATGCTGCCTCATTCAACTGTTGATTTGTAATTTATTAATTAAGAAAACCAAATGGTAGATGGTTTATCTGGTAAAGGGGATTACTCATCATCTTATTGACCAACTTAGATGTCCTTTTACAGGTAGAGCAGATCAAATTGTTCTCTCGTCCTTGGCGCATGATGTTTCCTCATTCGTCTTTGGTTCGTGTTCTATGTAGCAACTACATATGCAAACAAATTAACAACAATAGCTAGACCAATCAAACAAACATATGACATAAAATTTTTGTAGAAAAGCTCTTCAAATAGAAAAGTAAAACTACAGGACCTCTAGTCCATAAAAAAGTAGGTCCACCATATTAAAACAGTTTTACAAAACACTCTTCAATGAGCTATAATAACAGCACAAAGGCCAGAGAAAATAAGCAACTACAAGACAACAAGAAAATGGAGAACAAATGAGAATGATGCAGGCAGGGGCTCGGCCAATGAAACATATGTTAGAATGATACAAAAGCATAAAACAGAGTTTGATGGAGAAAATTCGTTCCTTCTGTATCTCAAAAGCCTTCGATATTCCCTCTGTATTTAGTGTGTTGTAAAACCGATCGAGTTTGATGGAGAAAATGTGTTTAAATCTGCATGAGTCAAGAATATAAGAAATCTATGTAACCAATTAACATTAACATACTGTGTGACCAATTTATGTTAAGATACATTCATAATCCAGTCATTGATCTTACAGTAACTCTGAGCAAAGGTAAAGGGCTCACCGGTTCTCCTCCTCCTCCTTGAATCCACCACCACCAGTCTCCTACAATTTGATACCACGAACTGCTCACTTGCAACAGTTCAATGCTGGGTCGTTTTTGAATTTAATCTGCCGATGCAATGCAGAGTCCATTACAACAAGGATTAAGTAGTCCAACAACAAGCGGATAAAAAGGTGGTCCAACAAGAAGCGGACAAAAAAGTAGTCCAACAAAAGTTTATCCGAACATAAGCCATCAATACTCCATTTCAAACATAAGCCATCAATACCATGCTCGTCCATTAGATTAGCATCCCTAGCATCTCGTGCATTCACCACATTTTCCAACCCAATGATAGAAAGCTCCCCTTTTAAATGTAACAAGTCCTTCAATTCTTTAATATTGCCAAACTGACTGTCCTTTCCAACATTGAATTTGGACAAAACCTGAAGATTTTTCAAATTGCCTATTCGCAACGGCATCTCCACTAATTTCTCAGTATCAGTAAGCTCAAGGACAAGAAAGTTAATTAGATTTTCAATAACTGGTGGCAGCTTAGTGAGCTCCCTGCAGCCTCGCAATAAAAGTGTTTGTAAGTTGAATAGGTTGCCCAAAGATTCTGGTAACTGTTTAATTGTACTCTGAGACAAATTGAGGTACCTCAAATGCGTCAGATCACCAATAGAATATGGAATTTCGTCTATGCAGTATCCACTCAAACGTAGCACCCTTAAGCATCTGAATTTTGCCGGTAAATCCTGTAACACATCGTTACTTATGTAATGGATTGTTGCCCGAGATGATGCATCCATTGGTAAAGCTATGAAAGTCCGTAAACATTGAACAGGATCTAATGCTTCAAATCTTTTGGAAATCTCATACTGGTGGCGAGTGAATGACAAATGACGAAGCTTTGCAATAAATGCATGCGGCTTGTCTTCAAAGGTATCCTCAAAATGAAGGCATATTTCTCCAGCAACAGATTGAGCTAGATCATTTATAAGGTCATGCATAACAAATAGTGTTTTGTTTCTATTTGACTGTTGGAAAAAAGGACATTGAAACTAAATCATGAAAATATGTAAGACCTACGTCTTGCATTTGTTTTTCTCCCTTTGCTTGTTGTATTAACCCCAAAGCCATCCATAGTAGAACCAAGTCATTCTTGTCAAATTCATAGTCCTTTGGATGTTGGAATTTTCTTAAATAATCAATCTCACAAATTAGATTTTAAAACACCGAATCATTCAAATCAATAATATATGTAATACAAAAAATTAATAAATAAATTAATTACGTACTTTGAATCTTCATAATCAGTATGTTATCTAAGAATTTTCAAGGATTTTTAAGAATCATCATAATTAAGAATTTCATGACAAAGCCTACAAAACTAAATATAGTTAGTATTGGGATTAAGGTCTTCCTCTCTTTAATTAACTTCTGTATAATGACAACCGATGGGTCATATCACTCCTTAACTCTACTATTTATAGAGGTAGGGTTTTCTGAATGGAAGAGGGGACTTAACCCATTATAATAATCTTTTGGACACCCCTATCAAGTAGCCCACTTTTACTTTCAGGCCCTACACCTATTCATATCACACCATATAAATTTGAAATAAAACTTAGGTCCACTTGAATCACATTACTTTATTAGGCTTTATCAATTTTTCCATTTGACCCAATTTTTGAAAACCAAATATAATTAGTGATAGCTCACATAAAAATTTCCAACATTCTTTCACTTGAGCAATGCTAATTGGTTTTAAAATTTTAAAAATATATTTTAAAAAAAATGACTCTTGGGTTAAATATAACTTTAGTGGCCACAAATATAAATCAAAATCTTAGTACGGAATTTCGTTCAATGAAAATATCAATATCGAACTGTGCGGTCATTATGTTTTTAATAACACAAAACCCTTCACAATCACAAGTATCAAATATCTCCACCAACATTAATTCCAATAGATGGGATTAAGGTCTTCCTCTCTTTAATTAACTTCTGTATAATGACAACCGATGGGTCATATCACTCCTTAACTCTACTATTTATAGAGGTAGGGTTTTCTGAATGGAAGAGGGGACTTAACCCATTATAATAATCTTTTGGACACCCCTATCAAGTAGCCCACTTTTACTTTCAGGCCCTACACCTATTCATATCACACCATATAAATTTGAGATAAAACTTAGGTCCACTTGAATCACATTACTTTATTAGGCTTTATCGATTTTTCCATTTGACCCAATTTTTGAAAACCAAATATAATTAGTGATAGCTCACATAAAAATTTCCAACATTCTCTCACTTGAGCAATGCTAATTGGTTTTAAAATTTTAAAAATATATTTTAAAAAAAATGACTCTTGGGTTAAATATAACTTTAGTGGCCACAAATATAAATCAAAATCTTAGTACGGAATTTCGTTCAATGAAAATATCAATATCGAACTGTGCGGTCATTATGTTTTTAATAACACAAAACCCTTCACAATCATAAGTATCAAATATCTCCACCAACATTAATTCCAATAGATGTGATAAAGTGTAGTGTGGTTTGACACAACATGATCCATACAATATATATAACATGTCAAAACCACAACGGTCCTCTTTATGGTTTCAAAGAAACCCTTTTATCAAGATGTAATCCCTTTTACACTTCCTCAAAGAAGTCTTTAAACTTTATTATGGTTTCATAAAAACCCAAAAGATAATCTCCCTCACTTTTCTAAAGAAGTCTATACACTTCCAAAGAAGCCTTTATACTTTATACCTCAAGATCTCAAGATCAATATTTGTATGAGCTCATAAAAATCGTTAGTACAATGCACATGCATTATTATAAAATAATAAGTGAGACAATGAGTAAAATAAAACTTATTATTCACAAAGAAATCAACTTCTCTCACTAATCAAGAATGTCTAAAATAATTCTCATAGATAAAACTATAATGCCTTGATCAGTAAATTAATTAACATAGTCACAATAATGCATGACTATAATCATTATTCATAGTTTCACCTTCATGTCACTCTTACTTTATAAGATAGATCAACAATTACTTTCGACATATCTTTTCCACCAAATTCTTTCGACAAGTTATCTATATAGATAACTAACACCATCAAATATAAAATATTTTAATGGAAACAATTCTCCATTAGCCATTGCTCAAAAGAACATGATCTTTAAATTTTAATCAAACACAAAAATACAAGAGTGACAAGATTTTATCAACTTTAATAAAGGTAATTGCATCTTTTACAAGAATTATTTTCCATATAATTCATAACACATGTGTTTAGAGGTTTCTCCATTGTAACCAAACAACTTTCTCATATCCTTAATCTTATCATTATATATTAAATGATTGAGAGTAATAAACTGTTTAACTCCCACTAATTTTCTAGACACATTATTTCTATCATAACCCTTTTAAATATCTTATAATCAAAGAAAATTATTTCTTTAAATAATAATAGGCATTTCACAATATCTTAAATTTTGCATTACTCTTATCATAATTAGTAATGCCTTCCTTTTATCATTTTTCCAGTTGAACAACAAAATAGTAATTTTGTACAATTCAAATCCATCATGTTAAGAAACATGTATCTCCAAATTTAATCAAAACTTATGCAATCAAAATACAAATTACTTAAGAGATACATAAATTAACACCAATCGAACATTGGTAATATAATTTTAATAATAAAATTTTGTTTCCATAAAAGTGCCTCATAATATACTTTAATCCATAGCATGATTCACTTTGACTCACAAGGGTTCAAGAGTTCAAGACACAACGATACTTTATTTACACTTTATGTTGATTAAATAAGTCCATGAAATCAAACCTTAACAAGTCAATTAGTAGGAAAATTAACCTTTAGTAAATATAAATCAATACTTATCATCCTTACTAATTGCTCCCACTACTTCAAGTCAATACATACAACAATCACCTTTGGGCCAAATCTTGCATGCACTAATATGAAAGTAGTAACTTTATATCTTAACTTTAATAGTTCATATGTGATCTTCCCAATAAATCAACTAGTTTTAATGACATAGTAATTTAATATAACCAATGGATATAAAACTTTATTAAACTTTAAAAAACTGTATTACAACTGAATTAATAAGAATGATCTCA